TAAAGGGGCTACAATGACTACAGTGTTTATACATGCCACATCGTCCTGCTAGAAAAAAAACCAAGGCTGATAATTAGTGGCAACGCACGCCTTTTACTCTGGTAATTCAGGTGAGTACTTGGAACAAAAGAACACTGTTGTCTCACCCACGGGCGTTCCTACAATGCGTTTGCAATCATTTACAATGGCAACCGCGCCCGCTAAGCCTGATATGGACCACTGTTTAAGTCTTAGAAGCAGTCTTGTGTACAAGTCGTGACACACGTTGTTATCGATATGGCAACTATTCGGAAACCTTTTGTCATTGGAAAGTAGGTAATTCCAGAGGCATTGTTGAAGGAGGAACATTGCTCCAAACTCTATGCTTACTATGCGTATGCAGTGCTCGTTGGCAGATCATATCAGGGCCGTACGGTCACTTGGTATTTCAGGCTTATCAATCACTTGGAGTTGAAGTGTAAATATCACGTTGAAACGCAGGATTGACATGCATCTTACGACCTTAACATAACGGCAGATCCATGGGTCCTGAAGCGGTAACTGATTACCGAAAGTACTCACAGGTGTGGAGACGAACAAACACTCGTTAATGTCGTGTCACCGCCACACTAGGAACCCTCCTCTTTGGAACAATGGCTACAGATCCGCTGATGGTCTTACCTACCCAGCGAACTTGGCCTTAGTGTACCATTCGCCGACTACGTCAGCAGTACGTAGCTACCCTATTCACATGAGTGTACGGCCAACTGAAAAAACAGCACAGGAACCTTGTAGATGCAAAGGTTTTAAAATTTTTATTTGTGAACAAGTCCTAGATTTACCTCCTTCGTACGAAGCACTGTATTGTTCCTGATTACCTCAAACTGCCGCAGCAAGCACATGTATTTCCTCAACGAAATGGCATACGGATTGATTCTCCATATTGCTCGCAGTAGCATGATTACCCTGCATATCGTATCACGTGTAGCCGGATAGGCAAGCGAGCAAGGAAGACAACCGTGCAGTCAACCCGTAAGCCCTCAAAGCATCGCTTATGACAGCCTGTAAGCGTTGCAGCCTCAACACAATCAACCAATCCGCTTATCACTACTCACTTGGTTGGACCTCACTAATTGGATTAATATAATTTTGCTCAATAAATTTGTTTTTGTTGCATGGTGGCCGGCTGGTAGCTTTCCGGTACGATGCCCATGCATTACTGGCAGCTCGGCTGGCATGCATCTGTTGTTTCGTTTTCCTTTTTATCTTTTATGCATTGCGGCACAGTGGCTGAGGTACTTCGCACCTCTAGCTCACGTGTATAATGATGATGATGGTGGCTGCGTCATTCGGCTTGGGATTACTCCAGGATGCACCGTCAGAGGTGTTTCTGTCAGATTTATTGGCCTAGCGACACATCCCTTTCCAATACTCTTTGGATCAGGCAAGTTCCCGTTCGTTGCTCGCGTTCCGCTCTCTGCTAGTATTGTTAAACTGCGGTTGCGCCTCTCAATCTCGTCCATGATGTCTGCGCCAGTGTCAGTCATTGCTCGTTCTAATGGCTTTCCAGCGGCCGGCATGATCGTTGTCTTCCGCGCGCCGACGACATTAAAGATTCCGGTAGGACATACCACGATCTGCAAACGCGTACGAAAAAGAATTTCGACGGCATTCCAAACAACTCTACTGGCCTGCCAACTTGAGACTGCTGACTCTCAAACTGCTTTTGTGACTGAGCTATAGCAAAATCTGGTAAGTCAAAAGGAGGTCCCCGCGCACACTTCGATACTGTCCGCTGAAAAACCCGAGCACTTGAAGCCTACATTCAAAGGCACATCATACAGACCCCTGGCATTTTTGTTTGTCCGGCGTTGAGTCTTCTACAGGACGGTGAGATCTCTCCTCAGCCATAGCTGCCAGACCTGTACTGTCTAATTCACATGTCGCCGTATGTTTGTGCCAAAAGTTTGTGGAAACATCCTAGGGTCGAATCGTCCGAATGCACGCTTCAGGAGGCCCAGGTGTTGATGTCGTTTCAGTTTGATTCGAGCGTCCAACTTCGACCTGGAGAAAATACCCCTGATCCTTCTCGCCAGAAGATGTTAGAAGCTCCTGATTGCCGCGTTTGTAGGAGCAAATCAACTTGTGCCATAGGTGCAGTACTCTACATTTGTCCACATTGAATCGAAGCATATTCTGGATTGACCCTATCCAGGTCAGATTGAAATACGGTAATATCATCTGGTGTATTGATCACACTCCACACCATGATGTCATCGACATAAAGCAGGCAGTTCAGGCTTATGGGGCGTGTGATACCGTTAATATACATCAAGAATAACTGCGGACCTAGTACGGATACTTGTGGAACTACGCATACAAATTGGATAGGACCTGACAGGGATTCATGCACTCATACTTCAAAGCACAGTGTAGAAAAAATTTTCCGATCCATCTAAGGAGAGGATCCCTAATCCCAAAGGTCTGGAGTTTGAACAGCAGAATGTTATGATTTAACCGGTCGAACGCCTTTGAGAAGTTGAGAAAAACTACATCAACTCCTGTACCAGCGTCTATTGCTTCAGTCCAGCTTGATCGTGCTAGTAGTCGATTTGTAGTGGACGACAGAGTTCGTCGCAAGCCATGCTGTTCCGGTGTGAGGTAGTTAAAATCTTCTCAGTAGGCCGTTAGCGCATCAGAAATAATAGCTTCCATGACCTATGAAAGAACCGGTAGTAGGATTATGGGATGGTAGTTGGCTGAATTGTAACGACTACCTCACCCGTGAATAGTAGTAACCATCCCGTATTTCTACATGTCGGGCAAGTACATTTCGTCAAAATAGTGTTGGAATGATAGATCTAACAGCTCAACTAAACGCTACTGTAATACTCAGCTATTTAAACGTATTTTACAAAACCGCAAAGTACAGTTGTATCCCTTTTCTAAATACTGCGCGTGAGCAAATGCTAATTGCGCTAATGCTGTTAGACACCAAATCGTTTGTACTTTTCAGGTCGTAGCGCATCTCTTATCATTCTCACACATATCACATCACTATCAGGAAAAATTCCCATTTCTCTCACAGCCGCGGATGTGCAGAAGCGACTGATGTCAATACGCGAGTGCAGTTCAACCGGCTCGGACCACATACGCCATAAGTATCTGATGGTAGCTGCTACGAGCTTGGCTGAAACGAAATCTCAGTTTTTTCAACATCACTTCGACGAGATGCATGTTGTAACAATGTGGAAGGGTGGAATAGTCATCTCCATCTACAAGACAGGCTATGTTGATGCTTCTGCAAACTACCGCTCAATTGCCCTTTTTCTTGTGCATGCACAAGTAATGAAATCTATTGTGGCAGAAACACTCATGGGATATTCCGAAAAGTGAAATATCACTACGTACGGGCAGCATTAAATCCAGTAAAAGGGTTAATCTATAAGGAACCTACTGTTAACCCGTGCCAGCTAGGAAAGGAGTCCGCATCGGTTATCTTGCTTTTTCGAAAGCATTTACTCGTCAAATCACCGCGTTCTTCCTTACGAGCTTCGGAGGTATGGAATCGGTGTCTCTATGCCAGGCCAGATACCATTCTTCGTAATCCGACGACGCTTGAATGTGCGGATTCGTAGTGCCCTGTCTGACGTGAAGTTTTGTACTAGAACCGCTGCTATTTCTATTGTTCATAAACAACCTCCCGTGAGTGCTGATTTCAAACGTTCTCTATGGACTATCTCAAGATTTGTTAGGCAATCCCAACTAGGCGACCATATAGCACTACAAGATAACTTCGAGAGGGCTTACGAGTTGTCGTGCTATACATGCTTGAATTTAGCCCTGTCAGGCGCAAAATAATGATCACACGTCACCATAGCACTAAAGAATGTCGACGAAGATAAGACGTTAAACAGTGCGCTTTTTAAGAGAGCGATCTTGGAATGTTCAAAACAGGCCTAGATGACAGTGAAAATAGTTAGCCAACACTTGGTCCCACTGCGTAGAGCGTTTGGTGGATTTTATCCCAAATATTTTCACAAATGCCCAACACTTACGTAAGATCACATCTAGAATACGTCATGCAGGTATAGTACCTCTGGCAAAAAGGTGAGTTATCTGTCCTTGAGAAGCCACAATGGAGGTCAACCAAAATGTTAGGGAATTGCTCCACCTCTCCTACCAGTCTAGACTAAAGGAAGTGAAAAATATTGTTTTCTTTGAGGTGAGCGCGTACTGGTGTATCAGCTTCTCAAGAATTCTAACTACCCATATCGAGCCATATTGAAATCTCGCTACAGCACATAAATTAGAGGCCTCAAGTTGAAGTTGGAGACAAAGAATAGCCGGTTGGAATGTTGCGGGAGGGTTTTCTAATTTCGTATATCCCAGCCGTGAAATTTACTTCCGCATTCTGTGCTCTTTGCTCCTTTATTAAAATAATGCAAAACTCGACTGCATAATGCATCAAAACTACCTGCATAACATGATTGAACGTTAGTTACTGTGAAACAGGACAAGATAACTAAATGACACGTGCACGTGAAAATTGCGGTCAGTCCACCGGTACGCATCTTTTTGTGCACCGACTCGTTTTTTCACATTTTACCTACTGAAAATTGTGACAAATTCATGCTTCCATTGTCAGGCTAAAGTAGGGAAAATACGGTCAGTTGCCAAGCCGATATATTTGCTAAAATATTACGCTAAAGCTTGGTTACAGCGTCGCTTTTGTAATGTTAGTTTGCTTTCGAGGAATTTTCAAGTGATATTGCAACACATAGCGTTTACTTGACATTTTCGCGATTGTCTGTATTATTCCTCTACAAACACAATAAACCGCCCGTTTTGTGCCACTTTTTGTCTGTGTGACATACAATAATACAAATTAAAATAATGGGAATATACGACGCCAAGATAATTTAAGCGGCGCTCTGTCGATTTGAGATGAAGTCTGAGGTTCTGGTAAAGCAGACTGTTTGTAGCATAAAAAGCCGCCTCAGTTACGCAGTATTACTTACTTCAGTTTGGATAAATTGTCGTTCAAGTTCTTCCTCCTGTGAATCAAATGTTAGCAAAATTAGCACTTCCTTATCAAGACATAGTTAACTATGAAGCATTCTTATATCCTATAGGTTTGAACAGCAAGAAACTCCGGTGGAAAATGTAATGGCCTGACAATTTAACTGGATTGAGCCTTCCACTTTAAGCGACTGTAGTTGTACCCGGAATATGTGTACACAGGGCAACTAGTCACTTTGTTTGTACACTTGGCAGTGATATGGCAACTATTCGCATTTGATAGCGATAAAATCGGACATATTTCCAATAAACCTTCCCTTCAGGCTAACTCCAGGCTGTCTATTCAAATAATGATAGTAGCCGCTGTTTAAGGGATCAAAGGCAACGTAGACTGGTTGTGCTTCTTCTGGAGGTAAGAAATATTGTGAAGTTAAGTATGCAAGATAATTGCTGGTGACATTCGTTAAAATAATAAACCAGTTATTGGTACACATAATTTGAAGAATAGCATTCGCTAGAAATATTCCGGATTTGGTTGACAGATATCAAGATGTAACTTCGGGGAAATATGCCTCACCAGCATGTGCGAACAACAGTGTATAAGTATAAGCTAAAAGAGCCAGTGAGAAATTTCAAAGATACGATTTGTTGTCATTATGTTTGGTAGATTGTGGCATGGAAATGTGCTGGTATTTGCCATATTTTGCCTGTTATTCGAATCCTACATAACCCACCTATGCTGGTAAATTTGGAAATTGGCCACCTTAAGTATCCAAACCTTTTGTTTTTCTTAGTTTGATGAGCATAGTACGTTTGCAGCGCGAGTTTATATGTCGCACTTGTTATGAAGTTACTTATGTACTCGTTAGCCAGGAAAGGTATCTACAAGCATTAGTCTAAGCAGTGAATTGTATTCGCCATTCACCACATAAACTTTATTTGTAAACATTCCTACAGAGCACTAGGATAGTCAACACTACATGGCTTAGGTGACATGATACTATCAAAAAGTGATTTGCACACCGGACATGTGAATGTATTTACGTTGTTCAATGATCATGACTTAATGCGTAATGGATGGCATGAAATCACAGCCCTTTTCCTAGTGCATCAAATCAGTTACCAGGATTGGGAATCAGCGATTTGCATCTTTATCAATGACGCAAGGCAAGAAGGTGGCATTAAAATCAGCCTGTAGTACCCAAATCCATACACTTATGAGTACAAAATAAAGAAACTACATATTTTATATGTTTTGCCACAACACGCTCATATATTAGGCATTACGATGTTTTCCACTGGCTTCACTCAGATTGGCATAGCAAAGGATTCAATGCCTCAGGGTATCTGGATACATACACAAATCCTTAGAATTGACAGCGCAAGCAGGTCGATGGTAAATCTTATACTTACTGCATATAGGCTGCAATGAATTTGTTCAAATTCTTCGGATTGATTGAGTGCCGTAAGTTCTGTCGAAATGTTTCAATGGCATTTTTCAGTTCCACTTCATTTTCTGCACCAACGAGCTGTGGCGCGAGTGATGTCAATCGAAACGAAAGTTGCAGTGAAGATAGTGAATGATAACGTTGCAATTCCAAAGACGAAGTATTGAACAGTCACTAACATATATTCGGCTGATAGCTAAAATGAGAATGAATTTAATTTAGACATCTGTCTCCTGCTAGGCTTGAGCAAGGCAGAGTGCGATGGATGTCGAAGTGTTCACGTGCATTTGGCAGAAAGGAAATTTGTGGCAAATGAATCGCTGATGATTCCCTTCTAACGCAGTTGGGTGTATGATCGAATGCGTGCACATGCTATTAAGATGTAATTAGCTGCTTTGTCTTCGGATTTGCAAATTATTAATTTTGTGAAAAGAAGTGTGATGATCGTATGGAGTCTACGTGTGTTTTATAGCTGTTAAATTCATAATGCCGACGTGAATGGAGCAAAAGAGGCGAAGCACAATTCGCGTTATCTTTCATAGTCCTCAGAAAAGCAGTCAAATCTGTCGGTCCCGGGTGACAGTCGCGCCGATTTGGTAACTGCAGGTACGTATTCCGATCAGTGGTTTCGTATAAAACTCTTTACTAGGTAACAGAGCCCGTTTGCAATTGTAACGTGATTTGTAGCAACCCACTTCTAGTTAGAAACTCCAATGCTCATCAGGTTATACGCAACTAACAAAAGTTCACCGTAGTGTACAGTCATCAATATTGTCTAGTGTCATGAGCAGCTGATTTCCAGGCACAACGTCTGTGAACAATACCCCGGGGTAGTTGAAGGAAAGCAAACTGATGACTAGGTCCGAAATGGTGCCAAAGCAGTCCAGTGCTCCTTCCTATTTTCGAAGGTGATCTGCTTTGTAACTGGCTGCCTTAACCAACTGTAAAATTATTAACTTTGCATTCTCTTCTATGATAAGGAACGATTTCATATGGAAGAGTGCACACCGATTGTGTATGCAACATATATGGAGCTTTAGAAAACCGGCAGCTCATTTGTGCCTACTACGATTGCTTACATAATTGGGTATGCGTCTGAAAATCAAGCCGATTACCATCGGGCAACTACTAAGAACTTAACTGATCAAATGAATGGTAACGTTGTAGAGAAATCCCGCCTATAATTAGCATGCACAGTGCTTTGATTAGTGACTTATCCTCGGTTTGTGATGTGAGAATAATTTTCCATAAAGACTTTACTAACCTTTAGATGCACATCTGGCATAAGTATAGTGTAAATAAGCTATTCTACACGATAGCTTTGCTCGATAAACACAGTGTGCAAATGTCAGCTTACCATCAGATAGATAGATGGTTATGGAATGGTGTCAAATTTTCCAGCAGTGCCAATCATTTTGTAAAGTATTTACCGTATGTAATTCGACGATTAGGCACAGAAATAACATAGAGGTTTGTCGACCCACCAAATATGTGAATTGCATATAGCTGTAATCTGATTTCATACCAGAAGTATCTGTTGCAAACGTTTCTAAAGAGACGTCGAACGGTCGCTTGAAGTTGAACGGAAAATTCGGATAGCATTTATGAGGTCTTTAAATGTTCCCTGATAAGTGATAATCAAATAAATAAAACCTCATGCGATAATCCGAAGTTGAATCTGCTCGACAGTTTCAACAGGTACCGCAGCATCTGGTGGCTTTCTTTTGGAAGTAGTGCGTGGAACCACGGTGACAACTAATATCAAATTCTCACCCAAAGTTGGTAGTAACACTAGTCTTTTGCACTTAGATGACTTCACCGCTGCAGCAACACTGGACGCTATTGCAACGAGATGGAGTTTATAGTGGTGCAACGGTTTGATACCCCTTCACTCAACGAGCTATACTGGATGATGCCCCGGGCTCCAAGGGAGCTCCTGCTAACAATTTGGTCAATTTTTCGAGGTCACGCAAACTCAGTCTCCTTGTACTCTAGGTTGGGGATAGGACATAGCGTGGCAGAAACATCTGTAGAACCGAATCGTTGCCACCCACGTTGTCTTGTGAACAGGCTTGAGGCCCCATCTCGTTATTCGCTTTAGGTTTACCCGCCCCAGAAGTATCCCAAACCACGTTCAACCATGATTATTCCCTCAAATTTCCGCAATATCCTACAAAGACCGTCTCATGGCTTTACAAGGGTTCCCTTATCTGCTGGTTTCACCAAAGCGAATAAGCGAAAACATGATTCAACTGGCGATAGCATCTTTCTGTTTTGAGATGTTAGTACGGTTTAATATCCTAGTGTAACCTCCCTAGATTGGTGCCATCATTTGGCATGAGTACTCACCTTCATAATGCAAAGTGTTGTTGTTGCGGGGCCACCAGAGACTTGATGACCCTAAGACCGAGGAACTTGAAACAGTTCTTCAACACGCGCACGTTAGAGCTGCATGAATAAAAGTGGGCGCATAACTACGAAAGTCAGTTCACTTATTGCAACGCCGCACTGCCTTCTTGAATCTGTGACCTTGGTGGCGTCAGTGAATGAGTTCGTCCAGTCTGTGTTTACAAGGCCACAGTTCGGTTCGTCCTGCTCTATGGGAGTGTGACGTGGAAGCTTCAGACCGGGGATCTGAATCGCATGCAAGACTGTGAGGACCGCCCCTACGAAGCATTGCGAGTTTCGGATATCACTAGCGTGTCCGTAGTGATGACGGGCCTATACGAGTGTTAGGCAGAGGTAGAGTAGTTCTTTAGAACAACAGATAGCGTTGAATAATTTGCGTGGGTTCCTGGCCATCGTTTACCGAAACGGCCCTTGTTTCCTTCTCCAGATGCAGAGTGGCGCAAAGCACGAAGTGTGCAAAAGTTAACTTGATAGTGAGAAATGAAGTCACTGTCGACCAAACTCGGTGCAGTTAGTCAGTCGCACCTTCTGTGCTTCAGTCCACGTGAGCTTCTATTTGCTCTGCTCCAGACGTTACAGATCATGGTTCGCGTCTGTTGTCGTCTCCTAGTCGGACTGCCTGTATAAAGTGTGTCTGGTGCTAAGTTACCTGTGGAATGATAGCTGATTATGACACAGGACAGTGAAAGCCGCTAGGAAACTATCCTGCTGATTCCGCCTTATCTGTGTATGGCAGTCACCTGTTAGTAAAGGTTTGTTGTTTACACAAGATCTAAGCATCGTGACTGTAAGTGTTTGTTTAGGATGTTATGCTTCTACGATGGGTCCCCTTTCACTCATTTTTGGTCTCTCTCCCTAGGTTGTTATGGTTGTATGGCGGCGACGCATCAGTTCAAAATGACTGATATGTTGTAGTTGATGATCGGTTGATCGTGACGATGTTGACCGCCTCAACGTATTTGATACACTGGGAACTGGGTTGTTCCATATAGTATATAAAGCACAGACCGTACAAGCTCAAAACCTTCATATTTTTGCTCTAAAGGTAGCAGGTGGGCTTATCAAGCTAAATCTTGTGTCATCCGATCCTGTTTCTCTATAGATGGAAAATTGAAGTATGCAATTAAACTAAGCGTAAAATACGGACATTTGATTAGTGGTATGGAGTCAGTTTCTTTGTAAAGCGTTTGCCCGAGGAACTGCTCGTGGTATGACAGTTCTTGGCAATAACACAGGTAGTGGTAAGGTAGACAGTGTGTACAGTTGAGCACTTTTAGATGTGGAAGAATAAGTGTTGTACGGATTACATTATTCATATTTCTGATAGCGCTTCTCGGGATACATATCTTCTAGGCATGCGCGCAAGTATGCAGCACAGTCAAGTCATCCAACTAGAGGTTGGGCGTCGCAGGAGAAACCATTGCGTGTAAACGAATCCGTAGTACATAGGTCGACACGAGGTTTCACATTGATTGGCAAATCATTAGTTAGTGCTAACATTAACGACTGGCCTCTCTGTAAGTTTATTCTGACAGCAAATAAATAAATATATTAGCAGATCAGCAGATCGAAGTCGCATCAGGGTTTGATACCACAAAATAAATACAACCGTTTCTATCGCTTACGGTTTGCGCAATCGATTAAGTGGGATCTTACAACTAGCTCCGAAAGTGTCTCACACAACCGATACAATCCATAAGATGATTATTCAAATATTTATGCCGCAAAAGCGATGAAATTCACATACGAGTTAACATACTTTGCTAAAAGATCATGGTATTATACAGAAGGTAGCAAGAAAGTTATAAGCAAATTGTCTTTTATGAATATGACATCCAAGTAGTAACACCATGCCAGTAAAAACGGACAACACCACTTACTGGTCCAAAACGATGCATGATTAAAAAGCTCTCAGTAGCTGTGTTCATGCCTGAGATGTTCAATTTCCAGTTCACAAGCTATGCGTGGAGCGTACAAAAAAAGAGCATGAGACGTAATGCCGTACAGTACAATTTAAGGAAGCTTCGTTCCTCTTTCAGTTACAAGAACTGTTAGAACGTAAACAAAATTGGGTGCCTGAACCACTTAAAAGCGAGGGATGTAGCATGCTTCTGGCACTCTCGTTATACACTTTTCGCCTTACGGCCATAAGTATGTAAACAGGTTCGAAAATGACGCTTGTTTTCTAATTAGTGTGTTTAAAATAACGATTCAGCGTTTGAGGAAATGTGGATTCGCGTGCGAGTTAAAAGCAACTATCCGATGAGGAGCTGAAACATATTAAACAATCAATGAAAAACAAAATGCTGACAGCATATGCAGTTACCTTGTCTTTGATAGATTCGGCGAACGATGCTGACGCGCCGGTGCAGTGAATCAATATTGCACCTAGGACCATCTCATCGAATGACATCTGGAAATGAGAACCGTATTTACTTAGCTATTCTCGTGGTCATGTTAATTCGCATCGTTGGATGGCATTATCAACTGCACATGTTTTCCCTTACCGAAGCTGGCGTTCAACCAATGCAAACAGATAACTGCAGATTAGACAGACAGGTGACCCGAAACTGGAGTCTCCGATCGACACATTGTACACAGTGGATTTGCTCTGCATAGTTGTATACACTACATTCAGAGTGGAAGGTATGACATCAAGAATCAATATTCCCTCCCTACAAGTTGAGCTAAAACAAATATAAGTGGGAAATTTTGACCGACGTTATTCGTATCTTTGGAATGGACTGCCTCATAAATTGCTAATGGTAGAGTCTAAACAGTCGCTTGGAAAATTGGTGGATGGAACCTCAAGGTGTTGCAAATCAAACCTCTGATGAAACGGGACGGCAAATGGAAATAGTTTTATGAAATAGGGGCTGGAACATAGGTATACAGTTACAACATTGCATGATAATATGTGCATACTCTTTTGATAACATCTTTTTCATTTAATGTAACTATATGTAGCTTTTTTCAGTCCAACATCCGTTATCTCGTTCCACCATACCAAATAAACAATTCCTTGTCCTATTGACATTTTTTCCACACTGCTAATTGTTATCGCTTCTTTACCGGAGAAAACAACTGGACTAACGTTAGCAGTTATTGGTGCTCTGCGAAGTCACCTTTCTATGTCATTTACTCCACAACTCGATTGCTGGAGTAGTTGGATCCATTTCAAAATCGTTTAAACACAGTCATTTTAGGTTTTCGCTGTAACCCGTATGTACAACCTGAAGTTGGATTGATTGCATTTATGCAATCATGTAGCAATGTAGTGCTTTCGCCATATTTTATACTTCTCTTTACCATTGCTAAGCGCGACTGGGCCGGCCTCCTTAGTTGACGGAGTTCACTCCGTGAGGCAAATTGTCACAAATCAAACGGCAAGTGAAATGGTGTGAGCATTGAAAGACTCGGAATTTGAAACCGGGTGAATGGCTTCAAGTGTTTAAAAAAGTAAAACAAGCAAATTCCTCTCTGAGAGCCTGTTACTCACTATTCATAACAACCACCCTGAAGATGAGCTAATACAATGATGACTTATTTGCTTTAATGCCACACGGGCCCAAAGCCAGTTGAAGCTTGGAAGTGCGGATGAGAACTTTCGGGTGATTAATTTGCACAGAAGTAGGCCTTACAATGGTTTTTCGAAGTCGTATTGATTCAATATGGCTTTTTTCTATAACCTATTACATCATGTCCTGCACTTAAATTGACGGTCTTCTTACAATTTTAGCGAGCGAATACCCCGAAAACCCAACTCTGAATTGCCCTGGATAATTTGAAAAAATAACAATCCTTTAAGATCCTGTTGTACCAAAATATCCGACCACTTATTAACAGTTCATTAGTGTATGAAGGGATAAAAAGCATAAATTTAGAACACCCACCTGATGCAAAATGCACAATAAAACCAAAATAAAGAAATATTCTAACCGGTAACGTGAATCATCAGTAGTAAAGACCTCGCAGTTTCTGATACAGTTGTGTAGCGATTAGGACTAAGATGAAAGCCGAGCATTTTCTCAAATGTCACAATGTGTGGTGCATTCACCACATGTGTTGATAGTGCATTCTAGTGGGAACAGATTCTAAGAGTGTAAAAAACTTTCTACATTCCAAACAGGAGTGTTGCGACACAATTTTCAGATGATGGCCTCGATATTGTTTGTAAAGGACTAGGGTCAGCAGTGATGTACATGGGCGTTTGCTTTCAATTAGTATGCAGTATGCGAAAATATCCCCGCGAAGCCGTCGGTATTCTGAGGAGAAGATACCAAGCAAATGAGGATGTTCGTAACTGAGACCGGATAGTCCACATGTTGCCTTGGTAGCTCTTCTTTGAGGTTGCTCCAAGAGACTAAGATATCGTCTTAACCAAGGTCGCCAAGCCTGAACCGCATCTTCAACTTGGAGACGAAGAAATGTGTTGGTCAACAGTGGTAATAACCGTCACTCAAAGGCGCCGAGAGCTCGCCTCAAAAGCCACAAGTGCAAGTTCGCCACATTAGCTGCTTTCAAACATTGGAACGAATTGCCAAGACATTCTCGGTCAATGTCACCTGTTGCAAAACGTGCTGTCCCAGCATCCATACGTTACTGAAGCTGCTACGCAGCGTCAGCAGGTGACACTTTGCATGGTTCAGTGGAAGCTGGTTCCTTTCTGACCATTCGTTAATCCGGTTCAGATCGTTGTGGAGATATGCACGGTCGAATGCTGAGCGAATTGCCCTCCATATTTTAGCATCTTCTGCAAATATCTGCATCGTGGATAACATGTTTTCTGGGAGGTCATATAGGTAAACCAAAAACAGTAGTGGGCCGAGGACGGATACTTGGGGTAGACCATTGGGTGCACAAAAGCATTCGAACTGAGTGCTGGCTATTCTTAACTTGGTAGTTTTGGCTTGTAAGTAATCTTCCAACCGGATGAGCAGGGAACCGTTGATACCATAGGCACCAAGTTTTTGAATGAGTAGGAAGTGATTGACTCTGTCGAATGCCTTAGGAAACTATAGGTAAACCACATCTATTGGGACTCCTTGATTTCATTTAATAGGCATTATATGACTTTTTGCGGTATAATAGCCCATATTTAGCTCTAAGGAAAGCTTTTCATCCATTACTGGTGACTTAGCCGGCATGCCTGTTTAACTTTTCAGTTCCTTTTGTATTGCGGTACCATAGCTGAGGTGTTTTCCAAATTGAGCTAGCGTTTATAATGACGATGATGATCATAGGGAATCCTTCAGCAGCTGCTTTGGTCCATGAATCCCGGGCAAGGAGCAGGTTGGTAAGGTCATCTGTGTCTGAAGCCACGTTGGACATTGGAAATTATGCGCAGACTTGCAAAATATTGTCTCTGTTCATTTGTGATTACCGATTCCATCACTTTTTGATAAAAGATGTAGGAGTAATAGGTCGGCAGTTGGATGAATCCCATCTCTTACATCCTTTGAATATCAGAGTGATGCTTCCACGTTTCCACTCGGAGTGTGTGGGAACCAAACAGATCCTGAAAACGCTGCAAGATGTACTGCTATGGTGGGGTAAGACATTTAAGCACCTTTGGGTAGATCTTTCTCGATTCCCGAGGCACTGTTTTCCCAGAGAGACAGTAACTTGTTTACGACAGACTCTGGAGTAAAGGTGACACTGGATAAGCCGACGGAATTTGTTGGGATTTGGCAGAGCAAAGGTCTCATGGTATTTGTAGTCACCAAGCCAAACTGCAGGAGTAGAGAGCTCGCCGTATCCCCGACAGCAGTCGTTAAGGTACTGGGCATCTTGTGTGTTGGTATTCCAGTTTTAACATTTCCTTTATCGTTCACATACCTGTAACGCAGTTTGTTGTTACCCGCAAACTAGAACACCATGTTCTGCTGCCATTCGTACTTGTCTATCCTAATAGATGACGTGCAGTAGTTTCTGACTGTTTTGAAATTCTGCCATGAGGTATCACATGAGCTTAGCGTATGTTGCTTTCAAATCGCGTCTCTTCTGTTGATCCGTTTATGTGGTCTGCTTCGGACCCAACTGTTGGTCCGACGTGAAACTCAAAATGGTGCAACTTTTGAGGCTGCTTGTATGATCCAATTAACTTTACCTTTCAATTCATTCTATGCGTCGTTCGCCGAACTGTGTAGCAACAGGTCCTCTTCAACGGTTTTCGCTAGGTTCTTAAGCTTGGAATAGTCAGTAATAGTTCATTGGGTTTCGCCTTCTTTTGCAACTATACTGGCATAACATACATAGCCAAATGTTAGGACTGTATGGTCGCTACTGCCTAGTGGAGGGTCATGTGCAACTGACTCAGCCATCAGCTCTTCAAGTGTTCACTGAGCTTGGCAATTTGGTTGCAAACGTTTCGTCACCAATCGATGTGACATCATCAGTGCGTAGTTGAGTGGCGTGCAGTAGCGTAGAATAGCGTAGAGCAGCCTCGGTGAGAGGCCAAGCTCAGCGAACAGTTCAGCTGCCATCTGAACAATCTGAGCCACAAGTCTTCAACTATATAGCCATCAACTCTTCATTTGTCAGGAGTAAGTCCAATAATGATGGCTTGTTTGAACCGCGGTGTCTGGTTGGTCCATGCACATTGTTATACAAACCTGTAGCATCCATGAATTCAAGGAGATGGTTTAAATGCTGGCCCACTAGGGGACACTGAGACAATTGACGGTACTTTGAAATCGCCCACTATAAGGTAATGGGAGTATTTCTTCGAAAATGCATTTGAAAATGCGTTTGACAGTACGTCATCACTATTTGCCGATGCGTTCGGTTACCTGTAGACAACTGCTAAGAGGCAAAAACCCTTCTTCTTCTGTGATCCACCATGTCGACCTGCTAGCTATAGTCCGCAAAATAATACGTCAGGAATCACAAAGGAAGGTTCGGTAATGACCTCAAATCTAAGGTAATTTCGATAGTAAATGGCAACGCCGCCGCCGCGAGATGGGCGATCATTTCGAATGACTTATCTTCCATTGAGTTCCATCTCTGGATCTAGTATGTTGTTCGAGAGCCAACTTTCAGTCAGTGTTACAATGTACCAACTTGATGTTCCAAGTCGATGGCGCACTTCGGGCAGGTTAAAGTAGTGTCCCTGTCGCAGCATTGTGTTTGTTGACGAATTAGCAGCTCAGTTAGCTGTGCATGACCGGCACAAATAGTGCCGGTCTGCTGTCCTTTTTGAAAAGTGTTTTTACGGTTGAATGGTCTGAGTTAGGAAAAACTGAGATTTGCTCATCTGTAACTGGGGTTTGTATGCTTGAAGGAACAGTCTTAGCCTGCCTCTGGGGGCCCAACTTGCCTTTTGTCATGCTTCGCTTGGAGTGGCATTGTTACCTTCTCGGGCATAGCCAAGGTAACTTTCAAAATTCTTTGCCTGCTACCGTGGTAGTTTGG